CGGAACCCTTTATTTTCGTCGTTCGTCGTGTCGTTCGTCCCCCTCGCCCCCCCCCCCCTGTCCACGCTTCCCAGGGTAGCCCCCCCTGGGCCACGGAACCTTTTATTTTCGTCGTTCGTCGTGTCGTTCGTGCCCTCCCCCTGTCCACGCTTCCCAGGGTAGCCCCTCTGGGCCACTTTTATTTTCGTGTCGTGTCGTCTCGTGTCGTTCGTCCCCCTGCCCCCCCCCTCTGCCCCCCCCGCCCAGGTTTTCCAGGGCAGCCCCCCTGAGCCTCGGACACATTTGTGCAAGAGCCAGGGCACGCGTGCCACTTGTTTTCGTCGTTCGTCGTGTCGTTCGTCCCCCTCGCCCCCCCCTGTCCACCTTCCCAGGGTAGCCCCCGTCAAGGCTTCCCAGGACAGCCCCCCTGGGCCGCGGACATCCTTATTTTCGTCGTGGTTCGTGGTTCGTCGTGGTTCGTCCCCCTCGGCCCCTCCCCTGAGCCTGAGCCCCAGCTCCCCTGGGCCACGCACCCTTCGGAGGCTTGCTCCGTCAAGGCTTCCCAGGGCAGCCCCCCTGGGCCGCGGACATCCTTATTTTCGTCGTGGTTCGTGGCTCGTGGTGGTTCGTCCCCGTCAGCCCCTCCCCTGAGCCTGAGCCCCAGCTCCCCTGGACCACCTACCCTTCGGAGGCTTGCTCCGTCCAGGCCCCTCTGGGCCGCGGAATCCTTTATTTTCGTAGTGGTTCGCGGCTCGTGGTGGTTCGTCCCCCTCGGCCCCTCCTCTGAGCCTGAGCCCCAGCTCCCCTGGGCCACCCACCCTTCGGAGGCTTGCTCCGTCCAGGCTTCCCAGGACAGCCTCCCTGGGCCGCGGACATCCTTATGTTCGTCGTTCGTCGTGGTTCGTCCCCCTCGGCCCCTCCCTTGAGCCTGAACCCCAGCTCCCCTGGGCCACGCACCCTTCGGAGGCTTGCTCCGTCACTTCCCAGGGCAGCCCCCCTGGGCCGCGGACATCCTTATTTTCGTCGTGGTTCGTGGTTCGTGGTGGTTCGTCCCCCTCGGCCCCTCCCCTGAGCCTGAGCCCCAGCTCCCCTGCCACCCACCCTTCGGAGGCTTGCTCCGTCCAGGCTTCCCAGGGCAGCCCCCCTGGGCCGCGGACATCCTTATTTTCGTCGTGGTTCGTGGTTCGTCGTGGTTCGTCCCCCTCGGCCCCTCCCCTGAGCCTGGGCCCCAGCTCCACCCCCCATTGGGCCGGGCTGGGAACCCTTTACTTTCGTCGTGGTTCGTGGTTCGTCGTGGTTCGTCCCCCTTGCCCCCCCCCCCCCTGAGCCTGAGCCCCAGCTCCCCTGAGCCACCCACCCTTCGGAGCCTTCCTCCGTCCAGCCTTCCCAGTCCTTCGCAGCTCCTTGGCACGCGTGCCACTTGTTTACAAGGTTTGGTGCCCCTCCCACCCCTCCAGAGAGGCCCCGCTTGAGCGAGGAGGGTATCCCGAAACCATCTTATTCACAAAGGTTTGGTGCCACTCCCACCCCTCGAGGCAGGCCCCGCCTGAGCGAGGAGGGTCTCCCAAAACCATATCATTTACAAGGTTTCGTGCCCCTCCCACCCATCCAGGGAGGCCCCGCCTTTGGTGCCCCTCCCACCCCTCCAGAGAGGCCCCGCCTGAGCGAGGAGGAGGGGGAACCCGGCGATGAGGAAGGGTTGATGGTGATGATGGTGGAGACGATCATGATGAAGAAGACTATGGACGATGACGACGAAGATGTCCTACACATCCATCCTCCCCCCATGCTGCTTCCCCTCCTCGCCTCCGTCGACCTGGCCCTACCATGACAATATATGGACATCGTAGGCCTTCATTTTTTGGCACTGCTTTTATGCTCTCGTGATCCCGCCAACCCCGTAACATCCTTATGTGGGGAACTCCGTTAATATAATTTCTCACAACCGTCATGATCTTCACGCCATCGAGCACGTCATCCCAATCGAAGGCGAGCAGGCCCAGACGACGATTACGGCTGCCGTGAGCCCCTTGGAATGCAGGCAGGGCCTGCTCATCCTCCGCTCGCTCCCTCTCCTGCCCTGCCTTCCCCACCTCAGGCTACCCATCCGTCGTTGAAAGTAGGTATTTTGGGTTCTCAGAACCAAATATACTTCAAGCGCCTTCCTACTTCAATAATCGATCTGCTTTTACCGCGTTTTGTTACTCTCTGGGCGGGCCCGAACTCAATATACTTCATCCGCCTTCCTACTTCATGTTTCTACCTACTTCTTCCGACCGATGGGTACCCCTCCAATATTTTTGCCAGTCCCCGAACATCTTCGGACTCCACTCCAGGGACCGAAGCGCACCCGCATGCCTGCCCAAGCCGCCCGCAGACACTCTCGAGAAAAGCACGAGCCCCTCGATAATCATCCCGACGGTCTCCCACCTGAGGCTCGAGCTGCACGGCCGCCATGCAGGGCTGCACGGCCAGAGCCCTGCGGCTGCCTGGGCTCGGCCCCCCGGGCGCGCGCAGGCGCGTGGCGAAGCTGGGCGCGGCGGCCCTCGCCGAGCCCGTGGCGCCCCCGCCCCCCTCGGCCCACGCCGCGTGGCAGCGGCTGCCGCGCAGCCCGCCGGTGGCCCGCACCGCCCGCCCGAGGCCCGCGCCGCCCGGCGAGGCCCAGGCGCCCGCGCTGGGCAGCGCGGCCTCGACCAGCCCGCCGCCGTCCACGCCGCAGTGCCCGCTGCCGCCGCCGCCCCCGCTCCGGGCGCCCGCGGGGCCCGCTCCGGCCGAGCCGAGGCCGCCGCCGCCCCTCTCGGGCGGCGGCGGCGCGCCGCCGCCGCCGCCGCCCCCCCCGCCCCCGCCCCCGCCCTCAGAGGCCCTCGCTGGGGCCGGGGTCCCGCAAGGCTCAGGAGGAACAGAAACACACAGACACAATCAATCCTCGATTCCCCAGAAAATATATGAAAATATGGGAAGTGGGGGGGAAGACAGAAACCCAGAAAATATGGGAAAATATGGGGAATCGTTTTGTTTGTGTGTATCTATTTGTGTGTCCTGGGGCCCCTTCAAAGGCTCCGGGCCTGCTGCCCGCCCCGGCCGCGCCGCGGCCCCGGCGCGCCCGGTCTTCGAGGAGCACTGGTCCGAGGAGCAGGTCCGCGAGGGCCTCGCGAGCGGCACGCTCGTGAAGGGCAGGCTGCACGTGCCCTCCTTCCACACCGACACCGCCTTCGTCCTCGTGGAGCTGGGCGGGCCGCAGGGCCAGGCCGAACGGCTGCGGATGCCGGTCACGGGCTTCGTCGGCCGCAACCGCGCCGTGCACGGCGACACCGTGGTGGCGATGCCGCTGTGGAAGCCGTGGCGCCAGGGCGACGGCGGACCGGAGACTGGCTCTCGCCCAACTGATTTCCCCAGCCGGTGCTGGCCCTGAGGGCCCCATATTTGTGTCTTGAGGATCCTGCCTTGCCGGTCGCACTGCTCGGTGGCCGTTTGGCTCTCTCTGGCTCCCCTTCCGCTTGCCCTGCCTGTCGCACTTTCCAGTGGCCGCTTGGCTTCCTGTGGCGTCCTCATGGGAGCCCACCCGCTGGCCCTGTGCGTCGCACTTGTTGGTGGCCGCCTGGCCTCTGCAGCCAAGACGCTGAACTATGGCCAACTTTGAGAGCTCAGGAGCGGCTGTGGTTTTCGGGCCCTTGCTTAGGTCCTGGTTGGGGAACCTATTCCCGGCCGTGGCTCGCCGTGGCCAGAAAATGCTTTTTGTTTCTTGTTCAGCATTCCTTGTGGTAGCTCGGCGATGGCGTCGGCCCCCTCTGCGAGCGTGTGGCATTTCCGTCAGTGGCCGCCAGGGTTTCTTCGGCTTCCTTTGGCTCCCCCTTCCACTGGCCCTGTGTGTCGCACTTTTCAGCATCCGCTTGGCTCCGTGTGGCTTCCCACGATGGCCCTGTTCGCCGTGCTTTCTGCTGGCCATGGCTTGCTATGGCCTTGTGTGTGTGTGTGTGACACTTCCGGGTGGCCTCATGGATTCCTGGATGCGAAGGAATAGGGTGCGCAAGAAGGGAGTCAGGGACGGGCGCATATTCCAAACGCGCATTTGACCGAAGGGAGGTTATTCGATGGCTTTGGTCCTTTCAAGGGCTTCCGAGTAAACGTTCAGTTGCCTTGCCCGTGCTTAGGCGTTGATCGGGATACCCTAGGGCCATCTCTGGGCCATCTCGAGACCTCTTAGGGCACTTTTGTTGTCTCGTGGGTCAGTTTGGGAATATTCATTCCCCAAGAAAGAGTCAGCACACATCGAATTCCGCTCGTGCCCCCGCTCTTGGCCCGAGCCCGCGCGTGCGAGCTAGATGTAATAAGCTCATGTGCTGATGTACCCGAGTGCAGGTTTCCATGCGCTTCTTGCCCGTCCGTTGGGCTGGTGAAGTCTGGTGCTCCCTTGGTGCACCCGTCACGATTCCTTATCGAGAGCAAGACCGCTGTCCCCATAAGCTTGAGCTCGGTTTGCAAACCTGCGTTCGAGCAAGGCTCACAGGGCTGGTGGGGACGGAGAGGACTAAGCGAAGCGGGTCTGCGCGGCCTGGGGGGCGAGACCCCAGGGCACGCGGCCCTGGGAGGAAGACCCGGGATCCGCATCTCTGTCTGAGCAGGTCGTCCAGCTGCTCGGGGGAGGAGGAGGAAGAGGAGGAGGCGGAGGAGGAGGAGAAGGAGGCGGAGGAGGAGGAGGAGGAGGCGGAGGAGGCGGAGGAGGCGGAGGAGGAGGAGGCGGAGGACCTCGGAGGAGGAGGAGGAGGAGGACCTCGGAGGAGGAGGAGCTCCACGAGAGAGCCGAGGAAGGGTTTGAGGACCGGCCCCGCCCAGGAGAGCGGCCCCGCGCCGCCAGGGCCGGCGCCGCCGCCGCCGCGCGCCGCGGCGGGGGCGCAGGCCCCGCAGAAGGCCGGGGGCGCAGGGCCCGCCGCGCGGGCGGGCGACCTCGCCACGCCGCTGGCGCCGCCCGCGGCGCCCCGCGGCGCTGCAGGGGCGGGGCCGGCGGGGGCCGCCGCCGAGGGGCGCGCCGCGGCGCCCGCGGCGGACGCCGAGGGCGGCGGGGAGCAGGTCAGGGCCAGCGATACAGTCGGGGCCTTGACCCTGAGGAACCCTATAGATAAGGAGCGAGGCCCCTTTTTTCCATAAGTTAAGCTTCGATTTCCTATCGAGGACATAAGGAAAACCTGAGGCAAGCTGTGAAACACTTCAGGAACGCGGAGCCCCTCCCCAACGGAAAGGGTTCCTTCTTCAGGGCCCCGACTGCAGGGGGGATGGGCACAGGGTGGGGCTGCGTCGACCCCCAACTCGCCCACGGATCGCCGGTATGGGGCCCGATGGCCTATCGGCGAGGTATCGCCGATCCCAGGTCGATGCATCCCCCCTGTGCCAGTTCCCTCCCCTCGTTGCCCCCCCCGCAGGAGCCGCTGGCCGAGCAGAGGGAGGACCCAGCGGTCGGAAGAGCAGCGCCCCCGCAGAGGGGGGTGGCGGCGGGGCGCCCCCTCCCCGGCGGGCTCCCCGTCCCCCCTGTCCCCCTCGATCGGGAGGTCGTGGATGGGGGGGGTCCTCCCAAGGTGGGGTTGGGGAACGAATCCGCCCGGATGCTCGCGTGCTCTTCTTGCAGGGGCCGTTTGGAGCGATGTTGCTCAGACCCCTTCTGGAGGAAGCGCAGACTCGGAGGTGGACAGACCTCCTACCCTGACACGTCGGTGAGCGAATTGGCCGTTTTCGGTCCGCGAGAGGGCGTCGCGGCCGTCATTTGTGCGGGTCCAGGTCCGTCGTTTTCGGTCCCAGGCCGTTCTCACTAAGGGGAGGTTTGCTACGGGGAGGCTTGCCCACCGCCGACAGACCTGGATCGAGGCGCGTGGATTAGCGACGGGCCTCGTTTCCATGTGGGATCGGCGCGCGCCGCGGCCAAGTCGGGCGGCACCGGCCTCCCGTCTCGCGGGGGGGGGGGGCCCTCCCCGATGCGTGGATCGTTCCTCCATGGTAGCACTCGCGTAGCCCTCCTTCCCCCTAGTTGTTTCTATTCTCTCTCCTGCTCTTCTCTCTTCTTCTCGCTGCTCATCACTCCCCACACCTCCCCTCTTCTCTGATGGTGGTGGTGGCGATGATGATCAGGATCATGAGCATCACTGGTATGATGATGGTGGTGATGGTGATGATGATGGTGGTGCTGCTGACGACGACAACGCCGATGCTGCTGATGATGACGCAGCTGCTGATGATGATGCTGATGAGGAGGAGGATGATACCGATGATGATGCTGCTGATGATGATGCTGATGATGATGATGCTGATGATGATGCTGATGATGGTGACGGCGACGACGACAAGGACGAGGAGGATGATGTGGATGGTATTGGTGGTGATGATGACTATGCTGACGATGACGATGACGACGATGATGATGCTGATGACGATGACGCTGACGATGACGATGATGACGACGATGAAGATACTGATGATGATGATGACGAGGATGATGATGATGATGACAAGGATGATGCTGATGACGACTTTGATGATGATGACGAGGATGATGATGATGATGTTGACGATGCTGATGATGATCATGACTTTGATGATGATGATGATGATGATGATGATGATGATGATGAGGATGATGATGAAGCTGATGTCGATGATGATGATGATGATGATGATGGTGATGATGATGATGATTATGACGATGACAATGATGATGCTGATTATGATGATGATGACGATGCTGATGATGATGACGGTTTTGATGATGATGATGATGATGATGATGATGATGGTGACGATGACGATGACGATGATGATGACGATGATGCTGATGCTGATGCTGATGCTGATGATGACGATGATAATGATAATGAGGATGAAGATGATAATGATGATGCTGATGACGATGATGATGATGACGGTGATGATGATGATGGTAATGATGGTAATGATGATGATGGTGGTGGTGGTGATGATGATGATGATGATGGTGGGTGGTGGTGATGGTGATGGTGATGGTGATGATGATGATGATGATGATGATGATGATGATGATGATGACGAGCATGATGATGATGACGACGATGATGATGATGATGATGATGATGATGATGATTATGATGATGCTGATGATGATGGTGGTGGTGGTGGTGAGATGATGGTGATGATGATGATGGTGATGATGGTGATGATGGCGATGATGATGATGATGATGCTGGCTATCTCTCTCTCCCTCTCTTTCTCTCTTTCTCTCTGTCTCTCTCTTTCTCTCCCTTTCTCCCTTTTGTGCCTGCACTGTCTCTCTATTTCTCTTCCTTCTCTCTGCCTCTTCGCTTCTTTCTCTGCGTCACGATGTCGGTCTCTGTCGCAGTATTTGCTTGTCTTTTCTTTATACTGTATAAATCGATCCGCCAATCAGTGCTTACCATGATGGGGTCTTAGCGGATGTTATGTGGCGAACGTACCCGGCCGATTTCGGTTGGTGGCCGGGTTCTTGGGTTCCAGGTTGCTGGTTCCGGGCCGATTTCGGTGGGCGGTGGGGTTCCAGGGTTTCTGGGTTCCAGGGTTTTTGGTCGATCTCTTTATCTATCGGTCTCACCATCGGTCTCACTACCCACTTCTCTATCGACTTCACTATTGATCTCAGTATGGGTCTCACAATCGATCTCACTGTAGATCGCACGAGCGATCTCATGATCGATCTCATTATCGATCTCACTGAATCGACTTCACTCTTGGTCTCACGATCGACCTCACTATCGTCCTCACTAATGATCCCACTAGCGCTCTCACTGTCGATCTCATAATCGATCACTATCAACATCATTTTTTTTGGAACCATCCGCTGATTGGGATTTTTCTCGGTTGTAATATTATACAAATATAAGTACATGCATGTATATATGTATATGCGTATAAATGTAAACATGTATATACATAGTGAACTATACATATGTGTATCCGTAAGGGCTTCGCCCCCTGCCGCCGGTCCCTTATCTAACACAATGAGATGTATCAGAGTCGCGTCGGTGCGGCTCGGCGCTGCCTTGGCGCATCTGGGAACATCATGCGGGCGCGGATAGGAATCATCAACGCACATTGAGACGTTGGCGTTATCGAAGACGCCTATGGCGAGACACCGCCGCCCCTTGCCTTCTAGAATCGCCCATGTGGCCGAGCGTTGTGGCAAGAGCTCTGCCAAGCTATCGGACCATGTTTTTTTTCAGCCGTTGTGGAAACCCTTCGGGGAACACTTGGGGTAGGACGGCGGGGAAGATCAGGAGGCGGAGGAGGAGGAGGAGGAGGAGGCGGAGGAGAAGGAGTCCTTGGGCCTCTTTGGGGCCTTTGGGGGCTTTTCGGGAGCCTCTTTGGCCGTCTTGGTGGGTTGCTGGCCCGTCTGACGCCGTCGGAAGCTGTCGCGGGGGCCTCTCTGGGCCGACTTGGGGACCTCTTGGGGTGCTCCAGGGCCGTCTTGGAGGCCATCTTGGGCGTCTTGGAAGGCCTCTTTGGCCGTCTTGGGGCCCTCTTGGGACCCTCTTGGGAGCCTCTTGGGCTTTTCTGGGAACATCCTGGATGCCTTTTGGGCGACCTTGGGGCGATCTTTGTGGGCTCTTGGGCCGTCTCGGGCCGTCGGTAGGCCGAGAAGGAGCGAAAACCAAAATCCTTCACAAACCTAAGGCACACTCATTTATTTTTGCCTCTTCTGGCCTTCCTGGAGGCCCTCTTGGAGGCCTCTTGGGCCATCTTAGGGCCATCTTCGGCCGTCTTGGTGGGCTCCTGGCCCGTCTGACGCCGTCGGACGCCGTTCTTGGGGGCCTCTGTGACCCGATTTGGGGCCGTCTTGGGGCGCTTCACGGCCATCTTGGGCGTCTTGGGCGTCTTGCAGGGTATCTTGGGCGTCTTGGAGCCCGCTGGGGCCTTCTCGGGGCCCTCTTGAGACCGCTTGGAGGCCTGTTGGGGCCGTTCTGGGGCCATCTTGGAGGCCTCTTGGGCAACCTTGGGGCGATCTTTGGGGGATCGTGGACCGTCTCGGGCCGTCGGAAGTGCGACATGAAGCAAATGCCCAAATCCTTCAACCACCTCAGGACAATCAATGATTTGGCCTCTGCGGGCCTCCCTGGAGGCCCTCTTGGAGGCTTCTTGGGCCGTCTTGGGCCATTTTAGGGCCATCATCGGCTGTCTTGGTGGGCTCCTGGCCCTTCTGACCCCGACTTGGGGCCGTCTTGGGGCGCTTCACGGCCATCTTGGGCGTCTTGGGCGTCTTGGAGGCCATCTTGGGTGCCTTGAAGCCCGCTGGGGCCGTCTTAGGGCTCTCTTGGGGCCGTCTTGGTGGCCTCTTGAGCAGTCCTGAGGCCAATCGGAAGCTTCTTGGGCGCTCGGGGGGCGATCTTGTGGGCCTCTTGGGCCGTGTTGGGGGCGGACTTGGATGCATTGCGGACCCTCTTGGGCCGTCTTGGAGGCCATCTTGGACCATCTTAGGTGGACTCGAAGGCCATCTTGGACCATCTTGGGCCGTTGGAGTCCATTTGAGGCCATCTTGAGCGTGAAAGGCATTGACTGTAGCATTTTCCGCGTGGCCGGCGGGACGGGCCGAAACCCCGGGGGAGAGCACTTTTGGACAAAAAACCAAAACCAAAACCAAAACCGACAGGATCCAGCACGCTGGGCACCCCGGTGACAAGCACAGGGGGCGGCGGATCGAAGATGCCTACTGCGAATCACCGCCGCCCCCTGCCTTTTTGGAAGCGCCTGCGTGGCCGAATGTTGGGTTTGAGCTTGGCCAAGTTATCGGGCCACGCGTTTCCAGAGTGGGTTTCGCAAGCCTTCGGGGAACACGGAGTCGGGCGAGCTATCGGACCAGGTGGTTTCCGAGCTTTGGGGCCTCTTGGAGGACGTCTTGGAGGGGTCTTTGGTCGTCTTGGAGGCCTCTGGCGGGCCTTTTGGGCAATCTAAGGCCATCTTCAGGCCATCTGGGGCCGTCTTGGGTGCATCTTGGGGCCATATTCGCCGTCTTGGGGGCCTCTTGGGGCCGTCTTGGGGGCTTCTTGGGCCGTCTTGGGGTCTTGTTGGGGCCCTCTCGGGGGAATCTTGGCCTGTCATGGGGCCATCTTGGAGGCCTCTTGGGCGCTCTTGGGGCGATGCTGGGGGCCTCTTGGGCCGTCTCGGGCCGTCGGAGAGCTGAAAAGAAGAACATGCAAACATCCTTCAAAACCCGAGGGGCAATCAATGAGTTTGGCCTCTTCGGGCCTTCCTGGTGGAGCTCTTTGAGGCCTCTTGGGGGCCTCTTGGCCAGTCTGAGGCCATCTTGGAGCCATCTTGGGCCGTCTTGGAGACTTCCTGGACGAACTTGAAGGCATCTTGGAATCTCTCGGGCCGTCTTGGAAGCCATCTTGGACTTTCTTTGGCGATTTGGAGGTCATCTTGGAGGCCATCTTGGGCCAACGTGACCATCTTA